TTCTGTAACAAGTCCTTGGCGCTCCGTGATAGACTGAAAAGACTAATGAACAGCTGCGTAAGATTTGTGATCGGGGCCCCAAGATACTCCCATGTTTCTCACCACTACGCTGAGTTAAAGTGGCTTTTCCCCTCCTTCCGAAGACAATATTTCCTAGGTACGTTCCTCTACCAAATCATCAACAACCATCGTCCTTCTTACGCCTACAACCTTCTCCAGTTCAAATCCTCAGTCCATTCCCTGTCCACAAGATCTCGACCTTCTAACCTTTACATGCCTTCTCACAGATCTGCCTCATTCCAAAATTCCTTTATTGTTCGCTCTGTCAATTTCTGGAATTCCCTCCCTATCAAAATTCGACATTCCCCATCCATATCCACATTCAAAACTCTCCTATTCCAATTCCTATCCCAAAACAGTCAGATAGTTGCTAACCATTCGAGCTGATTTTAATAGAGAATTTGATACATTTTTATTTTTTAATTCTTTATTTTTTTCGTAAAAGTGTATACTGGTCTATAAGAGCAAACAGTTTAAGTGTCTTGTCATAGTATTAATGGTTTTGTATATAGTTTAGTTTGTTTTGTATATAGAATTTTTATCTTATATTTTTTTTACATTATTTCTTTTTTTCGATTGATTTTATTTTGGCCAGATGTAATATATTAATTTTGTTCTTCTCAAGGGACTGTTTCCCAGAATAAAGTTATTTTTCTATTTCTATTTCTAACAACCTAGCATTTTTTAGGGGAAGCGGGGTAGCTCAGTGGGTGAGCACTGACTTCCAGAGCTGAAGGTCCCAAGTACGAGTCCGGATGATTATTAATTTTTCGTTTGATAAGTAATTTTTCATTAGCCGTGGATCGATCTTGGGGTCAGGAGACCATCTTGGGGCACACCCAGCCCTTATAAAGTGGATAATCCTAATTAAATAATTAATTAAGGAGGGGAACCTGGCGGTTGAGCGTGATATCGGCCCAATCACCTCCCTCCACAACCGTTGGCATTACAGTACCTCTTCATATACTACTGAAAAGACCCAATACCATACATGGGCTGTTAGTGGTATATGTTTTCAACGAAAAAAAAAATGCCGAAAAATAACTCAATTTTAGACCCACAACACAAATTTGACATGAAACAGATCTTCTGTCCAATTCTGTCATTTCAACATAATCATGTGGGTCATCATCAAGGCTAATAATTATATATATATATATATATATATATATATATATATATATATATATATATATATAATGGGGCATCTAAAAAAAAAAAAATATTGGAGATGGGAGAAAAAATGGAATGGGCTGGATAATCCAGGTGAGAAGCCAAATCAGAGCTAACGAACACCTGTTGTTCCTTTATCCATGACCCTTCCCGAGCCCTTTAAATATCTCTCTTTTAACAAAGTTATCCTTCTTTTTTCTTTTTTTTTTCAAACGCCTATCCTATTTGATCTTTTCGGATGCTTAGGACAACAAAAATCTCAGGCAAAATCATTCATAAGTCGGAAATTAAATTAAAAGTATCCGGAAAAAAAACGGATAGTAAATGATTAACTCTACAAACAAAAATATTTCTTAATTTTTACAAACATTATCATATTATATTATATCATATAATATTTGGAATGTTGTTTATTGCGAGAGCATGTAATATTATTCAAAATAAAAACAGTTTAAAAATTAAAAGTTGGATGAGAGATCTCCTTTCCTAAATTATGAAGTAGACCAAGACCAGGAAGAGGTACTGCTGGGTACTAATGACAGGCGTGGATAGAGAGTATGAAGAGAGAAAAAAAATATATTATAATTTTTTTATAATATATTATATATTATAAAATATAATATGTATATTTGATTGATATAATTATTCATATTGTATCCTAACCTGTCATGGTGGTGACAATTAGCATATATTGTTAAATTAACTAAATGTGTAGGTTTATAGTCATAAAGAATTAGAATATAAAAATTTATAATTATTTTGATTACGAAATTTGTCTTTGACAAGAATTATTTGCCCCTTCGATAATTGCAGATACAATACCGCACGACTGAACAAAATGCCAGGTCTGTCGGCTTTACTATTAAAAGGGGCGAGCATTTGGAACCCCAGAAGATGGTAAAATTATTTTTAATACAATTGAAAATAAAAATAATTGATTTCATGATCTTTTGTATGGTTATTATTTAATATATCGTTTATTGTATTGATTTTGAGATTACAAACAAATTCACTTTGATAGATATCTATCAACAATATGAATAGAAACTATGTTCTCATAATGTACTAATTTACAATATAGTATATACCAGAGGTGGGGAACCTGCAACCTAGAGGCCGCATTTGACCACCGTTGCTGCGGTCACCAAATGTTTTAGCACAGTCTTCGTTAATCTAGTGCTATAATTAACTAATATTTAATTATTTCGGTTACGATTTGAAAATCAATAGAATTAAATTGAATACATCTGGGTGTGTATTAACTTATTAATAAAAATAGCAACAGTAAATGATAAACTATTATTTCGACCTCCATTAACACCGCTTAACTATACTGCGGTCTCTAATTATAAAAAGGTACACATCATAGGTAGAGAGCCTGCGGCCTCCAAACTTTTTTTGCTCGATATTTATAAATCTAACGCTAAAATTAATTATTCAAGTAAAGAAAATTTGGAAATTAATAAAATTAAGATAATTAAATAAAATTAAGTTATGCATATCGATGAGTGTATTTAATGGTTAATAAAAATAGCAATAGGAAAATATACAGAATTGTTAGCGACCTCCATTAGTATTGCCTAACTAAACCATTAATGATAAAATGGTTTTCCACCACAATATGATATATATACCGTTGATAAGCTTTTGATTAACAAATTAATATATATATATATATATATATATATATATATATATATATATATAAACTAAAATTTTACAAATAAATAAAGTAAAATATAACAAAAAAAAATTGAAAATGATATCTAAAAGTTAAGTTTTATAAAGGACGAACCCCCATTCCCTACTCACCCCTCCCGTTGCCATTTGCTTTCCAACGTGATTTACAATACATCAACTGTCCTAGAAAGGCTGGCTCTAAATGACCCTTATCTGATCTCTACGGTCACGAAACTGCAGGTTCGTGAGATAAAAAACAAAACACTAATGATGTTATTTTGGGAAATTGAAATTGTTATATACGGAATGATTCCGAGGAAATTATCATTATGCAAATATCTCGTAAAATATTTAAGTAATTAATATAAAGTATGTATCGTGTTAGATTTATAATAAAACCTTAGCAAACCAATATATATAAAAAAATATATACGATGGAACATTTTAACATGAAACTAAATAAATGACTAGGCAGTAAAATGACAAAGAGACCATGATTTTTTACTAATTTTTACAGCCTCGAATTTTTACTAATAGAATTCAAATTTAATTAAAAAAATTTTAACCTCTGAATTTTTTTATTATGTGTCTTATTTAATGGATAGTTTTCTGCTGAAATAAAATATTTTGGAACTGATTAACTATTAATATATATATATATATATTTGTGTGTGTATAACGATAAAGCTGTACTTCGTAACTTTATTGTTCAATGAAAAATATTGATTATGCCCTGATTTAATAAGCCTTATCACAAGATAATTAATTAAATATATTCATATCTAACAAAAAGTACAAGATGATAATATTGGGTTGGCAAATGAGTCCTTCCGGTTTTTCTGTTTATTTATTTTACTATAATACTCTTCTTATCTGATGAATTAATCCCTAAGGTGGATTGTTTATCCTGTTTGTAATATGTCAACAACTATATATGTTGACTCTTGTTGAAACTAGGTTAGTATTGTGTTTGCTATTGCACTGTGAATATGGAAGAAAATATCATTCATTTTCGATATATTTTGTTGTATTATTTTAAAAAAGGTAAGCGTGCTTCAGAAGCTCATAGAAAACTTGTGATGTTTATGTTGATGATGCCTTAACCGAACGCACCTGTAAATTTGTTTGCCAAATTTCTTTCAGTAAATTTCGACATCAATGATGCTCAACATGGTCACCTACGTGAAATTGAAACGAGCAATGTTAAGGTCATTGTTGATCAAAATCCCACCCAATCAGTGCGGAAGATTGTTATGGCCCTAAATGCGTCGCACACAAGCGTAGAAAACCATTTGCACAAGCTCGGCTATGTTTCCAGGCTTAATGTTTGGCTCCCTCACATGATTTTTTTTTCACGAGAATTAAAAAAAAGTTATAACTTCAATCCGACTTTAGCTATCTATACGAAATTTAGCAGGAATTTAGCGCCACGTAAACTACACAAAATGATATCAAGAGGATTTATCTTCGTAAACAAACTGCAAATGGATAAAAAAAATAAAAACCTATGAGGAGTTTTTGTTTATTTATTCCTTATGTAGGTATTAAATAAGAAACTATTCAGCTTTCCAACGTACGTAGGAACATAGAATTTGAAGAACATCCTGAACAGTTATGAATGATAGATGTTACACCAAGACAACGCTAGGCCTCCCCACCCCATTGGTCACTCGTAATAAATTATTGAGCCTTGGATTGGACTTTTTTCCTAATCACCAGACTTAGCTCCAAGTGATTACCACTTATTCCGGTCTCTGCAGAACTGCACGAGCGGAAAGAAATTTCAAAAGGAAGAGGACATCAAAACCACATGGATCAGTTTTTTAACAATAAATTCCAGACATTCTATGAACATGGTATTAAGAAGTTAGTGGAAAGATGGGAAAAAGTCATAATAAATACTGGTCAATATATTGCAGATAAAAATTAATTGTATGCCTATAATACATTGAGTTTTAATTCACCCTGAAAAACCGAAAGGACTTTTTTGCCAAGATAATATTATAATATTCGAATTTTAAATTAGTTAGATGAGTTATATAAATATATTAATAAATTAAATGTAAAATAATACATTAAGAACTTACCGTTTTCTATATAATATGAAGTTTCGTTATAACGATCATCCGTGAAGCCCGGTCGTTTAGCCTTAAGTGCCTTTGTCTCCAACTTGGCCTGAAAAATAAATAACCAATGATATTCATCATAAAATTTAAATATAAATGAAAGTTTAAAAATTCTAAACATCAGAAAGTATAATTATAAAGTGTCGAGGATAAAAAAACTCAATCCTTAAAACCCATTTAAACTTTTCCTTTATAACTGACATAACAAACTACTTAGAGTGGACTCGTCGAAAAAGTTTAGTAAATTTATTATTTTTGTATAAAATATTCAATCAGATGAAACCGTTCTTTATTTTTTTAAATTCTTCATATATTATAATTTCCGTAGAATAAATCATCTTTTCCGTAGTAGGTCAGTAGCGATGGGTTTTGACAAAGATGTCAGAAAAAAGGAAATTTTATGCTGAACCTACCAATTCCAATTTCGATCATTAAAATCATACTACAGCTTAAAAAAAAAGTTATAGATAAAGGAAAGTGCCATAAAAAACTCGACAATGGTTGGACGGGGCTGATTTCTTAGAATAAAGCAATAAAATTTACAATGATGTAGCCCTGATGAAGACCTGCAAGGCGGGTCGAAACGTCGGCGAAACAATTAAAAATATTATTTTTTATAATTTAGTATTTATTCGACCGTACCCCCTGACGAACTCCTTCTCAATAAAATTTACCATTTCCGAGATAACTCACAGGTTCACTCACTCATAACTCACAGATAATTTTTCGAACTCCAATGATCACATCATAATTAATGATCACAAATTAAAACAGGAATTTAAATGAAAGAAAAGTTTCTATATATAATTTAGCTGTGTAAAATATACGATATAAGGAATCCTAAGGATCAAAGTTATAAAGTGTCCTTGGAAAATGTGTGATAAGAATTATGAAATTAAAAAATAAATAAATAAAGTAATAAAAATTATACTAGATATGTAAAATATAACATTTACATACAAATTTATAGAAGGTATAGGGAATGAAAAAAGCGCCTAAATAATACTTAAGTTTTGATAGATCGAAATAAATTAATAATTAGTAGATTTTTTTTAAACATAATTTTTTCACTCATGCCAGTCCGAGATATTGACAACCAGCAAGTGTGTTGTGTAGAATAGGGCAATGCATTGTTAGGCGTGAGAGATATGAGTACCCAGCGGGCATCACTTCCTATCTTGATTTTAATATTTATAGTTAAGCAAGCAATTGAGCTGACATTCGACAGAAGAATGACACGGAGCTCACATAACAAAACAAAAAAAAAAAAAGGTTAAACGTCAGACTACGACTATTATACTCACTTCTTTCAAAACATCCAAAATTAAAATTTATTATTTATTTGTTTATTGATAAATATTGCAATCTGTCTCAATAAAGGACATTTATAATAGAGTTCTGAGAGCACATTCACACCATATTTACAAATAAAATAAAAAATAAATAAAAAAATAAGCTAACTTCAAATAATATAAAGCTACAAAAGAACAAAATAAAATATCATAGTGAAGGAAGAAAATATAAATAATAGTAATAATAGAAGGAAAATAAATGAATAAAATAGAATTAAAATTATCTTTAAAAAAAGAAAAAAAAGTAATTTTTTCTTTCTTTTTTCAGCTTTCTCAATTTCTTCCCTCCTTCCTTTCATTCCTTTTCTCTGTTTTTAACTCTTTATTATATTATACATTGTCTGTACATCTTGATAGACTTTACAATATCTCAATTTTCTATCTAACTACTCCATTCTCAATGTTTTAATTTTACTATTTATTTTCTTTTCATTTCTTATATAACTTCATATTTCTTTTTTATGTTCTCACATTTTATTCTAAGATTCCCAATGTAACACTTTTGTCACCCCTTTTTGATTATGCCTACTTCATCATTCCACACTATGTAACAGTTTTTATTATTTATCTCTTAGTTCTTAGTCATTATTCTAACAATTTCATTTTACTTTATATCTATCTATTTTATTTTTCTAATAATTTTTTTATTTTTTTATTTTATTATCTCATTTTTTATTATCTTTTTTTATCATCATTACTTATGTTTCTCATACCTTGTTATCTCGTTATTTTCTTAGCCCTGATGAAGGCCTGAACTTCAGGTCGAAACGTCGGCATATGTAAAAAATAAATATTATAATTTATTTTTTGCCTTCCTTTTTGACTGAGCACTCCAACTATTCTTCTCTTCATTATCCACGACAGTCAACCAATTACCAATTATTAAAAAAAAAGTAATGAAAATAAACAAAAATTAATATTAAAACAGAAACTGAACGGCTAAATTTATCAACTAAAGCCCATATGGACCTACGCTGCTCAAATATACGGAACAGCCAAAACGATCCACATACGGAAATTATTAAAGCTAACTAACTAAATAAGAAAACGAATTAAAGCTTCCTCGTACGTCAGTAACATTACTCTACATAAATACTTACAGATACCAACAGGTAACGACCACATACGAACATACTACAAAAGATTTCATAATAACTTACACGGACATACAAAATCATTGGTTCGAGGCATGGCCACAACTAACATGCCCGAAAGCACACGAAGGAGGATTAAAAGAAGCTGGATGAGGGATCTCCTCCACTAACTAAAAATATTACGTCTATTCCAAGACCTATTACAGTCTTCTACATCTTGACATCACACTCGCTGATTGTCGGAACTTCTGACAGGTGTATGTTGAAGAAACCAGTTAAAAAAAACAAAAAAAAAAAAATGTTTTAAATTAAATTCCTGAATCATTTCATCATTATAAGTCATTGAATTTATTTCATTATCATCATATTACATGATCTTTCACATTGACCATTAAGTTCAGTTAGTTAATCGTTCGTCGACATAATATTTTTTTAATTTTTAATTGGTAAATGGTTGACTGTCGTGGATAATGAAGAGAAGAATAGTTGGAGTGGTCAGTCAAAAAAGAAGGCAAAAATAAATGATAATGTTTATTTTTACATATGCCGACGTTTCGACCTGAAGTTCAGGCCTTCATCAGGGCTAAGAAAATAACCAGATAACAAGGTATGAGAAACATAAGTAGTGATGGTAAAAAAAAATAATAAAAAAATAAAATAAATAAATATAAAGTAAAATGAAATTGTTAAAATAATGACTAAGAACTAAGAGATAAATATGTTATTTTCTTAGCCTTTGATATGTTATTTTCTTAGATAAATATGTTATTTTCTTAGCCATGATGAAGGCCTGAACTTCAGGTCGAAACGCCGACAAATGACAAAATAAATATTATCATTTATTTTTGCCTTCTTTTTTGACTGACCACCCCAACTATTCTTCCCTTCATTATCCACGACAGTCAACCATTTACCAATTAAAAATTTAAAAAAATATTATGTTGACGAACGATTAGCTAACTGAACTTAATGGTCAATGTGAATGATCATGTAGTATGATGATAATGAAATAAATTCAATGACTTATAACGATGAAATGATTCAGGAATTTAATTAAAAACACGTTTTTTTTTGTTGTTTTTTTTTAATTCAATTCTTTAACTCACACCTGTCAGAAGTTCCGACAATCAGCGAGTGTGATGTCAAGATGTAGAAGATTGTAACAGGTCTTGGAATAGACGTAATATTTATAGTTAATGGAGGAGATCCCTCATCCAGCTTCTTTTAAGCCTCCTTCGGGTGCTTTCGGGCATGTTAGTTGTGGCCATGTCTCGAACCAATGATTTTGTATGTCCGTGTAAGTTATTATGAAATATCTTGTAGTATGTTCGTATGTGGTCGTTAACTGTTGGCATCTGTAAGTCTTTATGTAGAGTAATGTTACTGACGTAGCAGGAAGCTTTAATTCGTTTTCTTATTTAGTTAGTTAGCTTTAATAATTTCCGTATGTGGATCGTTTTGGCTGTTCCGTATATTTGAGCAGCGTAGGTCCATATGGGCTTTAGTTGATAAATTTAGTCGTTCAGTTTCTGTTTTAATTTAAATTTTTGTTTATTTCCATTACTTTTTTTAAAGATAATTTTAATTCTATTTTATTCATTTATTTTCATTCTATTAATACTATTATTTATATTTTCTTCCTTCACTATGATATTTTATTTTGTTCTTTTATAGCTTTATATTATTTGAAGTTAGCTTATTTTTTTTTTTATTTGTAAATATGGTGTGAATGTGCTCTCAGAACTCTATTATAAATGTCCTTTATTGAGACAGATTGTAATATTTATCAATAAACAAATAAATAATAAATTTTAATTTTGGATGTTTTGAAAGAAGTGACTATAATACTCATAGTCAGAGGTTTAAATTTTTTTTTAAATGTCATTCTTAAATGTCATGTCATTCTTCTGTCGAATGTCAGTTCAATTGCTTGCTTAACTATAAATATTAAAATCAAGATAGGAAGTGATGCCCGCTGGGCACTCATATCTCTCACGCCTAACAATGCGTTGCCGTATTCTACACAACACACTTAATGGTTGTCAATATCTCGGACTGGCATGAGTGAAGAAATTATGTTACGCCGACGTTTCGACCCGCCTTGCAGGTCTTCATAAGGGTTACATCATTGTAAATTTTATTCCTTTAAAATGCAGGGTTCGCTAAATTCCTAAGAAATCTTCCCCGTTCTTTTTTGACTGACCACCCCAACTATTCTTCTCTTCATTTTTTAATTTTTATTTCATTTTTTAACTTGTTGACAAACTGTACAGCTGATAAAAGCGATGATTACTAAAATATCCTTAATATAACATGACGCTCCATTAAATATAAATAAATTCCAGAGGAAGGAGAGCGAGAAGGTAAGGAAGGGGCCAATAACTTGTGGCTGCGACGTCCTATCTTGGCCTCAGGACAAGGTCCCCTTGCCAGTCGCCGCCTAACAAACTCTACCAATTAATAAACAGATATTTCTCTCCTTATCATTAATCTAGGCCGGAGAAATATTTTTGGCCGCCCCGTGACCTAACCTCAAGATAAAAACATCACAAAATAGAACGCAACCTTAGTGATTATAAAACTTATACCGCATAAGTTCCAAAGA